TTCTGTCAACCTTACAGACAGAGGCAGAGACCAGTCGTGTTCACTACAGCCTCAAAGGGTCAAACCTAAATTATGTAGTATTGTTGATAAAGTAGCCCAACAATAACACTACTGATATCTCGGGATTAACGGTGATCAAATTAACACCCATAAGAGGAATACAGGAAAAGAGAGCTCTGTCCAAGGGAGGGCTCCAAATGCACCTACCTCATGTATCAGCAATCACATGATCAGCACTCATGAATACTAATTATAGTTTCACTCTGTTTTATTTCACTTTCACTCACTTTTACTTCCAGATAAAAATTAAATATTACTCAAGATATCATACAGAATTAAACCCATCTTCAAACTGAGTTTAAAGAACAAAACCAGCAGGATGACAATTAACGATTATTTTAGACTAATAACATGTTATTGTTATTAAGATATTATTGTTATGATCTGCGTACCACACAGGCCTGAGACTCTCACAGAGGTTCTCCTGCTCTATGGGGACGTACTGTAAAGTGGCACCCAGGGGAGCTGGGGAGCTAGGTGTGGGCGCTCTGCAGAGAAGACTACATTTGAAAACGAGTAACCGAAATGCCCTCCACGCTCAGTGACTCTTATTAATCGACTAGGCTGTGCAAAAAGCCATTTCTCCGAGGGTTTAATGACACGGCACCGATCTCAACTGCGAGACTGAAAGAATTCTTAAGGCAGATAATTGCTGCTGTCTGAGGGGAAAATGTGCAGAGTGCAGCTGGAGACAGCCACTTGCTTTTCTAATTCACATCTGCACTCACACAGCATGGAGAAAGAGGAATAATCTTTACTCTAAGTGTCTGTCTGAAACAGAGTTATCATCTAGAGCTGTGACGAGGTGTGCACAGCACTCTTCCAAGGTGCTGTTGCTAGGATACCGCACACGCTCCAGGGGCTTTGCTTAATCAAAGACAACAAAATTACATTGTTTTTCCACCACTTGACTCGCTGTTTATCCGTCAGAGCACAGCGGGGGTCCTGGTGAATTTGCTGTAATCACCAGAGCAATGAGTGCACAGTAACACCTCCACACTTGCTACTCCAAAACCTGACATTTCAACCCTGTAAGGATTGTCAAGATGGGGTTAAGCAGCCTCAACTCTGAATATCACAGAGGTACACTGAGACAGACAGCTAGTGACACAGTTTGTGTGGCAGCTCTGATCTAATGCACACACACCTGCAAGCAGCATCAACAGACCTGGTGACAGGAAGGCTAAAAACTAGGCTGTTCGAGTAGCAGTTTACATACAGGGTGACAGAATCCTATCAATAAAATGTCACATTCTGGCACAGAGGTCCTCTGAGTACCACTACTACCCACTGAGGGACCTGTTATCTGTAAAGCTACTAAAGACAGCGTACAGATCAGCTCAAAACTCTTCTGTTAACCTTGTTTCTGATTACACTTCTCCAGCTCTCTCTGCCTCTCCTTTTAAGGCCTTTGCGACACACTCCGCACTGCGACTGAATCTAGACAGGCAATTACTCTTTGTTTGCCCACTCTGTGAGGCCTGTCATTCTGTTTACCTTGCGTGCTTCCATCTGGGCCTCCTGCTGGCAGCACTGCCGGCAGTTGGGCTGGAGCTTGGTGAGGCTGAACTCCCCGAGCAGGTCACAGGAGCTGCACAGCAGGTTGCTGGAGAAGCCCAGCTCCCTGCACGCCTCTGACGACAGCTCACCACCATATGCCGCCAGCTGGAGAGAGGAAAGAAGAGGTAGAAGAAACACAGGATTTATGAGGAGGGGTGGGGGGGGTCATTAAATGCTTGCTTACTCCTCATATAAAGATGTACAGGCATAAAAAATGTGTGCCTGATTAGAAAGTCTCACATCAGCAACTGATATTATGAATAATCCTGTTTAAAAGTGCTATTAATGCTGAAAGGAACATTGATGAGAAGTATATGATGTGATGTTACATTATGTGATAGAATCCAAAATGTAATTTAATCACCCATGTGTGATTAATTTTTTCATGGCCTACATACTTAAGCCCTCTGGGACATTGAAGCTCTTAAGAGTGACAAACATAAAGAAGGTATTCAGTTTGATACATGATACGGAAAAATACATGTGGCTATTGTAATAAGCAAATGTGTGGTATTTTACTTGTGGACAATTTACCAACTTAATCTCTAGGCTACTTTTAATAATTTTAATAAAATCCTTTGATTACAATACATGTTCAGTCTGAATGAGAATTTGCTTTCCTGGCCAAGTGTGTTGAACACACGAGGAATTTGACTCTGGTACAGTGGCTCTCAATGTCTGTGATGACAGTGTTGAACACCGAGCTGAATTAAAGAAGACTCGTGTATGGGTCCCAAGGGAGTCGAGGTGTTGCAGGATGTAATGCAGTGCCATGTTGACTGCACTAAATAGCTGTTGTCTCAAATTTGATTACCCCAATGAAAAATGACACCCTGGCATTGACCTCATGTCAATGCGCTGTGCACTCTCTCCTTGCTGATGCGGTTCCTCTATGTTAGCTGGAAAAATAACCTACTGTCAACCACAGAGAAAGCACAGGTTTTTACCGGGATAAGCAAATTTAGAACACCGGGAGTTGTTGGGTTTCTCTTTCAAGGCACAAGCATCGACATACCAATCAGTTAACAAAGAATAAAAATGTTAGTTACCACAAGCATCGACATACCAATCAGTTAAAGAATAAAAATGTTAGTTAAGAAATACATTCATGAGATAAACACTCAGGAGACTTCACTTCCCCAACAGAGCACACAGGTTTACAGGATGAGCCACGTCATTTTGAAGCTCGGTACAACAGGATGAGGTTTGCTAAACTGCACATAATGTTAGACAGCTCGCAGTTTCGTCAAACGTTTAGCTATGTTGATTACAAAGCACTTATAAAAGCTGTAGCCATTACTATTATCAGTGTTAATAAACTCACCGACTGTAAAAGTGAAAGGAGCCATAGGAGGTACACCTCTCCCGACATTTTGGATCCTACTCTGTTAGCAATGGCTTCTTTAAGGACCTCTTTTTAGTGGACGGTAAACCGCGTCGCGCCTGACCGTTAATTTTATTTATGGTAATTCCTCTCTTCAAGATTTTTGACTGTTACTGATAGAAGACTTTTCATTTATGCATAAAGATTTTTTTTTCAAAAATATCAGGTGCTAAGAAGAGTTATTTTATGTTCTCGAGTCTTGGCACATGAAAAGGCCGACTCGTAATTTCCTCTTCGCTTTCGCTGTCATGGTTCAAAAACACAAGTGCGACATCTGCTGTCCGAACACAGGTCAGTTTGTACTGGCCAGTGAACAAAGAACAGGCGTTTCTCGACCAGTACAAAGCGTCGACTGAGTGGTGGACTGTCAATATGTACAATGGCCTGAGCGGTAGTAACAGTCTGTAACGGAAATATATTCTAACTACATACAAACATGTACATATGGTTCAAGGATCCATAGCATCACAATACAAGGGCTGCATGTTTAATACTAGACAGGAAGGTAGTTGGGATATACTGACCATCAGATATTTGGGAGTTTATACAGTGGAAATGATTATAATGCTTTCAGCGCCACGCTGGGTAGAACAGGAACCAGTTATAAACACTTTAAAGTGGTCTGATTCTGTGGCCCTCCTAAATAGCTTGTCATCCCTTAATTCTAGCATGGTATTTTTGCTTAACATATTTCAGGTAAATTCAAAACTTTTTCCCCATGGGAAAGCGGTTCATTATATGAGGGTGCCACCAGCACATGTGGGTTTGAAGGGAAATGAAGAGGTAGGCTTGCTTGCAAAGCAAGCAATACATTATGAATCATTACCTCTACAAGCCCTATAAATAAATTATAAATTAAGAGAACTGTTTAGATCAAGGAAGTGGAAACATGACAAGAGTAGTAGAACATGGAAACAAGGGGAAACCCTTTTGCGGTATTAACAATAAAGTTACTTCAATTTACAGGTAGGTCAAGGAGAGAGGTCATGCTCAACTGGATTATGTGAACACTGACAGGTACAGGAGACAGTAACACGTTATTATGGAGTGACAGCAATACGAACAGGAAAGACAGAAAATGAAGGAAGAACTTAGAAGTGCTGGGTTTCAGGAGTTTAGTTAAAACAATTGCGGAAATATCAAGTTTCTTGGGTAGAATTTTATTTTCTTATTTATGATGGACGGGTTTAAGTAGAACGTGAATTCTGATCCACACTCCAAAGCAGAAGGAGGCAGTAATGCTCCTAATACGTTGGTTACCAACCGTCGTTAAAAAAAACGAAGAAGAAGAAGAAGAAGAAGAAAAAGTAGTGACAGTCTGTCGTCCGCGGTGTGGTGGTGGAGAACAGACTGGACGGGACAGGGCAGCGCTACACGGGGGGCGGCAGGCGGTAGCGGCTGGTACCACCGCTCCGATACCGAGGACGTACAAATCCGAGCTCTGGAGAAATATCTAGGACTTCATGACGTTCGGCTAATGGGATTTGACTTGATGAAATAACAGAGCTGAGCATGAACACTTCGCGTCAGATGTAATCCGAGGATTTGAACACTGGGAGATATCCTCACACACATACAGAGGGGAGGAAGGCCATGAACAGACACTCACCCGCTTTGTAATCACCATTGTCGCTGCGTGCGTGTGTGTGTTTTCGGTGTCTCCTCCTCTGAGCATGAACTGGATGATTTGATGGGGCTGCTCAGGCTCATGATGCCGCCCAAGTTGCAGCTTCTGGCGCTGCTAGCGTTCGCAGTGGCCATGTTCTTCCTGGAGAACCAGATCCAGAAGCTGGAGGAGTCCCGGGGAAAGCTCGGTAAGTCTAAGCGGCTTGCAGCCCGATCCCATCCCGTCACAGCACTCTAGGAACACGGCAGGCTGTGTGGGGGGTCTCTCTCTTGGGTCGGTATAGATCTGTGCATCCTCACTGCTGTGCATGTGGTTCAATATGACAGGCAGTGTGCTGAGAGCGCAGCACTTCATCCACCACTTATGCTTCATCATATGGTTCATACA